CAATCAACCAACAAGCATCACACCAAACTTTGAGCTGCCCACACCAACACCGGAATCTCCTCCCAGTATTTCCGCGAACAGGTACTTCGCTCTCTTACCGTACACCGGCGACTTGGACCACGTGGTTACACAAAAAATCGCCAACATAGCGCGTCAGAGCCGCGAGAGCATAAACACATGGTACCTCGATAGTTGCTGCAGGTAACACATGGTGGGATCACCAACATTCATCAGCAACTCCCGACGTGTGCGACGACCATGCGAAATCACAGTCGCCAACAACGGCAAGCTAAAGGCATACGACATCGGTGAAGTTTGTCTTGAAGCTGATGCCACCAAGGTCACCATCCATATCGGATATGTACTGGTCGCCCCGGATCTGTAGTACAACCTGCTCTCCTCGGCACAACTCATGCGGTGCGGAGTCGATAGCCGCAGCAACCGCAAAGACAAAACCTTTGAGCTATTTTACAACAACTTTTACATCGGCAAAGCGATAGACGATGATGGTGTCTTCGTGCTGCAAATCTTGGCTCAGGGCACCACCGGAGACTCCGAATTCACTCTGCTTCTAAAAACAACTCCCACGGAGCCACCGACATGGTCACATCCCACGGAAATGGACCTCAAGCGACCCGCCTCCGATGGACTCCTGCGACTACGCACCGTCCCTACTACCTCGACCTTCAATCCTGCCGACATCGGACCTGCCACAATGGAAGAAGACAAAGACAGTGGCACGTCAGCACCTGCAGAACCAAGCGCCTAAAAAAGCGGAGCACTTGGAACGGGATGGGAAAATCATGGCCCCACGCTCGGGCCATGGGGAGAAGTCCTAACACCAGAAGAAGCAGTTGCGGAAGGCTGGGGCACTGTTCCAACGTCAGAAGCGGGAGTAGGTACTGGAGGCGGTTGGGGAACCTCAACCGGAGGAGGGTGGGACCAATCAAATCCCACTTATCCCGAAGCTACGGGACTCCCCCCTGCAGAGGTGGCGGCAGTCGACCCACACTGGGCAACCTGCGGCACTAGCTGGGGCAAACCTCCCCTTCCCGGCCAGTACGCTCCTGACACACCAGAGCCCATAGTGGAGGAGTAAGAAAAGCCAAGTTCTTCGGAGAAGCAGCGGAACTACCGGAACCTACCAAGGAGCCGTTGTTACCAGAACAAGGGCCTCAGCAAATTGAAGCAATTGGTGTTGAATACAGCTACTTTCGAATCCCGATGGAAGGACTTCCTGTCTCCGAGTGGCCTAAGGCACCGCCACCATCGTCGTCGCATCTACTCGTTATTGGCGAACAAGTTCATGCCGCTGATACGGCATCCCGCATACCCTCCTCGAACGAAACTCCGTTCAAGCCATTGCAGCTGACGCCGATGCCGCCACTAACACGGGACCTAAAAAGGAGCAAAACGATGCAGCAGCACGACATAAGTAATATCAGAGGATTGTCGGATAACGCGCGGAACCTGAAACATGGCATCAGCGACTCGAGCATCCATCACACGCCACACTCAAGAATTCTCTCAAGGCGGGCGCCTTTGACGACGACGCGCTACTTCTTCCTCGAGGGGGTGTACTCACAGTAGACTCAGCAGACCCACCATGCATCGTATGCCCAACAGCGTCGCTCACCCACAAGCCTTTTCCCGACTTACCTCCGGGATACGAACGCTACAAGCCGCTGGAAAAAGGTCCAGAGCGACTTCATAATTTTCAGCCACAAAGGGCGGGACGGTGAACTCTACACGCTCACTTTCATTGACACGTGCACACGCTACGTCTGGGACATCAACATCGACTATCGCTCCCTTGCCTTCGAGTGCTTCGTGGAGTGGATGAAGCGGCCAAGCGACAATCTGGACTAAAGCTAAAATGTTACCAGACACACGGTGGCTTGGGGTTCTTCTCAACTGAGTTCAAGGAACTCTTCAAGCAGAAAGGGATTAAGCACCTGGTGTCCCCGCCCTACGCTCACGAGCAGCAAGGAGTAGCAAAACAGACAAACAGGAGCCATGCCACAAGAATGAGGGCCCTGATGAAGCAGTCGGCCATCCCAACCAGATATTGGCCATTTGCGATGAATCACGCTGTTCGGCTGCACAACCTGCTGTCCTATATCACGAAGCCTCGAGAACAACAATTCCCCCTACAGGGCATAGACGGGCAGAAAAGCGGGTACACGCCTGCTTCGGGTGTTCGGGTGCATGGTATAGTTTAGGCCACACACAGCAAGAACCGGAAAATTTGCTGATCGGGCGCGCTGGGGCATCCACCCCAGGATCGAAATGGAACACAAGGCAAGGATCGTGCTAGACTACGCGAAACACGAAGTGACAAAATCACGTGACTGCATCTTCTACAAGAAGCTGACTCTGCCACTGTTCAAGGAACACCAAGAAGCTGACAAGGCACCGGAGGGACATCGCAGCTTTGCCACATCATACGATGAAGCTGACCTGGCAGAAGACGCAGACGCAGGCGATATCACACCAATGGACGCCGCCCCGGGCATCCCCCTTACAAGCCCCCTCCAGACACCAACCTTCATTCCCGTACACCAATTCGATCCTGCCGATGTAACTCGCGAAGCCTACAACTACAACAGGGAGGCGCGCCGATCCCCGGATGCAGAGTTACCACAACCCAACACCTTACAGGACACCCTCCGCCTCGGAACGAAAGTGACGACGACATCGTAGAGGTTTCCAGCTTCCACGACTACGATTGCCTCCACTACGAAAAGATCAACGAAACTGGTATACGCATCCTCAGACTCGCTGTAGCTGTTTGCCACGCCTCTCCCGAAGAACCTACCACTGTTTGCTAAGCTCTGTCTGGCCCCGACAGTGACAAATGGAGAGCAGCCATGGCCGCCGAAATCGCGTCGCTGAAACGGCGCGGAACGTTGAAGCTCGTCCCTCACTCATCAGCCAAGGGGAGAAAAATTCTCAGGGCAAGTGGGTCTTCCACATCAAAACCTTGGCAGACGGTTCAATTGACACTAACAAAGTGAGGTAGGTGGTACGCGGCTTCGAACAAACGCACATGGTGGATTTTGACCTCACTTACGCGCCCGTCGGACGACACACCTTGGTGCGTATTCTCATATGCATCGTAGCCGTTAAGCAGCGTCCGCTCCGCCAAATCGACGTCGGAAGCGCATTCCTGTATGCTTCCGTCGACGCTATCGTCTTCGTCGAGCAACCGCACGCGTTCGAGGACTCTGACGGTGCCATATGCCTTCATAAAAAGTCCCTCTATGGGATCAAGCAAGCACCCCGCTTGTGGCAGCAGTATCTACACACCGTCCTCACAGAGCTCGGATTTACTCAGTTGCCACATGACCTCGGGATGTACGGAAGGAAATCACGCGACAAGTTCATTCCTTGCTTGATGGGTTTGCTGCACACACCTGCGACACGCCGAACGTTCGACACAGGACAAAATAGAAACCGCGCACGACAAAATAGAAACCGCGCGGGACACACAAAATGGCCGAGTAACACGCGGTTAGCGATAACTCGCTATTGACTCGACACACATACTCGACATCATGACCCATCATTCACACACTATTATAAGCATGAAATATATATTTATTTTACGCCCTCATGCCATTCCATGCACACACACGCACACGGACAACAAGCCGAGTGCAAACCGTAGGGTTGCACTAACACGCATCAAGTGCGTGACTCTGTCATCGACTGAGTCGGAGTACATTGCGGCCACCGAAGCTGGTAAGGTAGTTCGTCGAATTCGATTCCTCCTCGCCGAGTTCCAGCTCCTCGACACTGGGACAGCAGCTGCTCTAAACGTGGACAATCAGTCCGCCATCGCGGTCGGTGGGGGCTTGGGGCTGAAGGGTAACCTCAAGCACATGGAGCGACGTTACGCTTGGCTGCAGCAGATGGTGAAGCGCAAGAAGGTTGCGCCGTAGTACATCCCGATATCCGAGCAGCCGGTGGACTTCCTCATGAAAGCGCTGCACTTTCCGGCTTTCAACCGATGCTCTATCGCGGTCGACCAGGTTCGCCTTGCCGAAATCGGCGTCGACGATGACAACGTGCAGCAGTAGGTGCCATGTCCTCTAACATGGCTGGTGCGGTGATCGGCGTGCGGGGGCGTGCATGCCAGAGAAATATCCCCTTGTATTCTCTTAAGTATGTTCTGGGTGGACCTTGTGTGTGGGGGCCCAAGCTTGAGCAGGGCAGTGGAGTGTCGAGGAGAAAAGGCCCACCCCTCGCTTGGGCGAAGTCGCCATGCTTTTTTTAGCACAACGGTGTTCGTTTCGTAGTCATCGACGATTTCAGGGACTTCATCTCTGTTCGACAGGCCGATTTTTGGTGAGATTAATTCGTCGAAATTGAAGTGTTGTTTATGCTCCACGCAACTGTTCGTCGACGAGGCACTTGGCGACGGGAGCAAATCGGTGTCAAAATCGAACCGTGCGGGTCGACGAAGATCCCAAGAGCGGCCATGAGTCTTCTGAACTTCCTGGTGGACCTTCCCTTCACATCCCTTGCTTCCCCCGCTGTTGCCTACCCTCCCAGTGCACACCTCCCACCCTTTTTACCTCCTACCCACTCTCCTTAACTCTCACACTCCTTGCCTCCCACTGTCATTACCTCCCACCCTCTTTACCCCTCAACCTCCTTACCTCTCACTCTCCTTGCCTCTCACCCTCCTTACCTTCCGCCCTCGCGACGGGCATTCTGCACCAGCTGAGCGATCACATCGTGCCCGTTGTATGATTATCGCACCCCAACATTCACATCTTTGCACCACAGACCTTCTGTCTTGCCCTCTCAATTTCTTCCTTCCCACCCTCACCTCTCTCATTCCATCTCGCACTTTCTGACTGTGATGGGTTTGGAAGCGTAGTACCTGTTTGAGAATCCTGACAATATATTTTTATTGAAATGTAAACATTTGTCTTTTTATGCCTTCCCCGTAGTCAAGCTCCCGTTGTAGCAGTTATCTCCGCACGGAGCAGATGCAACAGGGGATGGAGCAGGCGCAGCAAGGGGCAGAGAACCAGCAGCAGCCTAAACAGGAGACGGCGAGCAATCCGGCGAAGCTGCAGGCGGGGGTGGAGCCACTCCAGGATGGGTTGGATAAGCTGAATAAGGTGGCGGCCTTGCTGCAGGACGGTGTAGTGATGGAGATACAGGGGAATGAGGTGATCCTGATGGAGGGAGTGAGGAAGGTGCACGCGGGGTTAGACAAGTTGCGAGAGGCACTCAACCTGCTGAAGAGCGGCTCGTCGACGATTCTGGACGGCACGGAGACGGATATCCTCCCGACGGTGAAGAAGCGGGCGGATGTGGTGTTGGAAGGGATGACGGGACTGGAGGGCGCAGTGGGCGCGCTGGTTGACGCGGCGATGATGGTGGAAGACGGGATAGTAAGCGACGGTAGGAAATGTTGGCAGAGGAGTGTTTGAATCTCCAAGAGGCGACTGAACCGATGCAAAAAGCCGTGGGGCTGCTTCAAGAGAGGGCGCTGAAGCTTCTCGATGTGGTGACCAAGGGGTTGTCGCAGCACGGGCCGGAGCATCTGCAACACGGGGCGGAGCAGCCGTAGCACGGGGTGGAGCAGCTGCAGCAGGGGGCACAACAGGCGCAGCAGGGGGCGGAGCAGGTGCAACAGGGGGTGGAGCCGGCGCAGCAGGGGACGGAGCAGGCGTAGTAAGGGGCGGAGAGCCAGCATCAGCCTCAACAGGAGACGGCAAACGATCTGGCAAAGCTGCAGGCGGGGGTGGCGTAAGTCCAAGAGGGGGCGGATAAGCTGAATGAGGTGGCGGCCTTAATGCTGCATGGCGCAGTGATGGTGATAGAAGGGAAAAAAACGATCCTGACGGAGGGACTGAGGAAGGTGCAGGCGGGGCTGGAAAAGATGTGAAGAGCGGCTTGTCGACCTGCTGAATAGCGGCTCGTCGACAATTCCGGACGGCTCGGAGATGAATCTCCTCGTAGCGGTGAAGATGAGATATCTTCACACCTCTAGAATCCGCGCACCTGACGAACTATGGCGCCAGCGCCTCGGGCCACCTCTCGTGCCAAACACTCAATATTTGCTTCACTATTGAGGATTTTGCGCACCAATATTTCTAAAATATGGAGCACATTGCAGCCGCATACATGCACTGTCTGCCCCGAAGCCGCACTAACTCATCGGCCATTCCCCTGCTAGACTCAGAAACTAACCGGTGCCCGAATCTACACAAGGTGTACAACGATTTTCTTGTCGTCAACCACTGAAGCCTCAACGACGAAGGCAATATGCTCATCTTGGTAGTCATCCGCTACGTCTTGATTGCGGACTTTCAGTAATGCAGCAAGGGTGTTCCACCTTTGGCAGCTCACACGCAATGACATTTGGGAAAGGATTTGGAAATTTGGCAGACAGACAGCGCGGCTGAGTTTCAAAGCAAGGAGCTACAGGATTATCTTGGGCAGAAGGGAATCCCGCATCACATTTCGGCCCCTTGCACAAGAAGTCGCTAAACGTATGAATTGCACACTCATGAAGGAAGTGCGCGTATTGAAGCCATCAAAACCCACCGTTACCTACTGCCCGTATACGATGCACCACGCCGTGTGTGTGCACAAAATTCTCTCTACAACGGCGACTATTAGCAAACTGTCACCACATGTGAGGTGGACAAGCAAGATGTGCGATACCTCCATGCTCTGTGTATGGGGGTGTGTGGTGCAGTGAGAACCCCAACATCAACTATAAAAAAATTCACGAGCCGCGCGCGATGAGATGTTCACATTGGCATCACCTACGAGTACAAAGCGTCGACCAACTTTGACCTCCTAAGCAACAAGATCATGCACACACGCAGCGTGATTTTCTACGAAAGGCTCACCCTCGTGCAGTTCCGTGTGTATTAGCATGTAGTTGCGGATTTTGTTTACGCACGTGGCGAACGAAGCTACTCAACTCCCAAGCGCGAAGCTGCACCGACGATGCTGGATCGGCATACCTCCAACGGGTATCCTGACATCGATCCCCACCGTAATGACGACGATGACGAGTCGCCGCCCGGACCCACGCGGAACAATGGCAGGAACCTTGTGCCACCAACCCCAATTGCGCCAGAGAGTGACAACGACGCTGACAACGTACAAGAAGTCATTCTTAACATCACCACACACGACAGTCTCTGGGTTGCAGCTGTTGTGGCTCCATATCGCAACATCCTTGGCCCCACGGGTCATTGTACCAAGAAAATCGCAGCAGGCTTTAACCAGCCCTTGTAGCAAGGAGTAGTACGCGACAATGGATCGAGAGATAAGGGCGCTTGAGTCGCGCGATTCTTGGGTGTTCATTGACCGAGCAACAACCAAAGGAACGCGCGTGCTCTCGGAGAAGTGGGTGTTCCACGTGAAAACTGCGCTTGGTGGTACCAACAAGCATTTGAAGATGTGCTGGCTCATGCGTGGGTATGACCAACACCAACCCCCATGAGCCGCCCACACCTCCGTGCACGTCCTGCTTGCCATTGCCGCAGCAAGGCACCAGCCCCGCCAAATCGTTGTGAAAAATACACTCTTGTATGCCTTAATGGACGCAGTTATACTTGTGGAGCAGCCGTCCACTTACGGCAAAGGGGACTAACGTGAATGTCAGCTCAAGAAGTCGTTGTATGGGATCAAGCAGACGCCAACTGTTGCACGACACATGGGATGTACGTGCCTGTACTTCTACAGTTATTATATCTTGCTCACAGTTTATGTGGTTAATTTACTCTACACAGGGACCTCACAGTTTACGTGGACGATTTACTCTACATAGGGACGAGCAACACGCTTCTCGATCAGTTCGAAAAGAATTTGGCCCTACGCGTTGACATTACCACGAACCATATCGCGATGCAGTTCCTAGGACTTAACATTCCTACGCCCCATAATTCGTCCACCTTTCGGCCTCGGAATACACTGAAACACTTGAGAAGCGTTCAACATCTTGCTGGCACCATAATAAACCCCTTGCCGCATGCCTGGACTGAACTACAAGCCGGACAACAAAGCCCTACACCTCGCAAAACTTCAGACCTACCAGCAGCAACTGGGCTACCTTCTCTTTGCCTTTGTACCTTGTAGGCCTGACCTCTCCAACATCGCGAGCCAACTGGTTCAGTACTCACGCAAACCAATGGCTGAAAACCTTATGAATCTTCAACTCGCTCCGCAATTTTTCATCTCAACACCAAACATCTGACTCTCTTACTCCATGCTCACGACTCCATCAATCAACCTCATGAGCTACATGGATTTCAATCACGCCGCTGATTCTGACAATCAACGATTGAGAACGGGCTTCCTGTTTTGACTCGAACCAACAGGCCCAACTTATAGAATTTCTAGAAGCATGAGTTGGTTTCCCTGCCATCGGCGGAAGCATAATTTATCAACGCGTCAGTAGCACTTCGCGAAGGACTCTATTTGCACAAGCTCCTAGAGGAGGCAAGAATTTTGACGTCGCCCACCTTCCGCCTCCATTGCGACAACCAAAGCGACATCAGGGTCGCAAACAAGCCCAGATTCTTCAATTGCAACAAACACATTGCTCTGTGATATCTTTTCGTCAAGGACGAAATCCTCAAGTTCAAAATGGATCTGACGTACTGCCTCACAAAGCGACTTCCCTTATCAGCAATACCAATCTTAGCGGACTGGTCAAGCAAGTCAAGACCTGCTAAGGCCAGGAATGAAGGGGGTTGTTACGATAAGGGAAATACTATGAGCGTTTCTTTATGTAATAGGCTCAAACCACAATCGGGCATGAATGCAAATGACCAGGAAGATGCGAAAGGTCGCGTACAATTGGAGCATATAGACCATCAGCGATAGAGACATCGAGCAGCTGCATCGCCAAGCAAAAAGGCGGGAACATGTTTGAAATCAGTTCCCGTGTCACACGATTTGATTTCGTTGTAATAAGGGAATGTACACCTTATAGTACATGGCCACTTTAGGTTGTTTCGTATTCCCTGTATGCTATAAATGTATATGTTACACCGTAATCACTTCAGTTATTATACATTCACTCTGAAAACAATTCATTATACTTCCGTCGCAATATCACTCTGCAAACAAACCAGAGGCTGATCCTGGCTCATTTTGGGATCGTAACAGAATTCATGGCGACAAGCTAGGGCATTGTCATTGTTATTGACGATAGTGTGAGTGTTGTTTCGCTGTCATTGACAATTCCTCCGTGGTTGGGTGAACCTAACAATGAGCCAAAATTAGCTGCACCGCACTTCGGTTGTAAAGATTTTCATACCCCCCACCTGGTGGGGCCCACCCCCATTCTTATACAAAACGTAAAATATACCGTAACTAAGCTTTATATTATATTTACCAAAAGTTTAGTTTTTTTAATGAAAATCACGTGAGTAACACACTATCAATGTTGGTACATTTTCTTCAGCCCTACTATGCCTGAGGTGGGAAGATTCGCACCCTCACCGATATTCGAGGACAATATGCGAAGTACAACCAACTACGATAAATAAACAACAAACATCATATCATATCACCATATAATTCCGTATTAAAAAATGTTCATAGCTCAAGATCTGGGTCTTAAAAATTTACTGCCATTTGTTGAGACCCTAAGGTCTTATGTCCAGGTGATTATGGTATGTGCGTCTATCAAAAAGTGTTACGACAAAGAGGCACTTATCATTCTGTTTGCTCTGCATACACTAGGCCCGTGCTCCAAGTAAGCAGCTCGTGTGGTGCACACATAGTGCGGGATGCACAGCGCGGGGGAAGGGCAAAAAGGAAAACAAGACACAATGCGTTGAAACGATGAGTACGGGAGGCAAGCGGGCACTGTTCATCCTGTTTCCTCGGCCCGTGCTTGGTCCAGCATGTTAGAGACTAAGGACCGAGTCTATGAAGAATAGGTGCCGAAATATCTCAAAATCGTTGGCTTGAAGTTCTGGACAGAAACCGCGATTTCACAAGAAACGTTGTTGCCGAAAAGTTCACCATGCTGCCGTGCCTTGCAGTGGCTCTGCCAGGCAGAGAGTAAGGCAGGGGCAAGAAGGAGATGGGGGGAAAGGAGCAGGTTAGGCATTGTCGTGTCCTGCATTGGCTCTGCCAAGCAGAGAGTAAGGTAGGGGCGAGACGGAGATGGGGGGAAAGGAGCAGGTTAGGCGCTACCGTGCCTTGCAGTGGCTCTGCCAGGCAGAGAGTAAGGCAGGGGCGAGACGGAGATGGGGGGAAAGGAGCAGTGGGAAGCTTGCTTGCAGTCTTCATTGTGGCTGTGGGGAAATCCATACTTATGCGTTATGTCAGAAATAATGCATTAAGCCGACTTAGGAATTCTTCACCACCTTGTCTCTGCCATCCGCGCCACTTACGGTTGGTTTCTTCCTTGTTTGACGGGTGAGTGAACGATCTTGCTGGATCAATTGTGTCGGCTGTCATAGCTAAGGGCCAATTTTCAGATTGCTATGACATATGAGTGGGGCAGTGCATCAAAACTTCCCGTGTATTCCGTAACCATGTTCGTTTGTGTCATGCTCAGGCGCTTGAAAACTCTTAGAGAGGGCATTCGCATGACTCATCTGCGGCTCCCCAACTCCACGTACTTCGTGTCAGATGCCCAAGTGGCAGCGATCTGTCCTGCAGGCAAGTGTATTGAATGTGTGAGCATTTGATAGCAACTACCCGTCGCCTCCCAAGCTTGTACTGTTTCTCGCTCCATGTCAAAGCACCATTTACCCTGAACTTTGTATTCCCTAAACCTTATTCATAGGTGCTGTTTTTTGTGGCCACGGACAAGCTTGTGGACCTGCAGTTGAGTGTCATTCGAGCATACCTTGAGTGGTATTTGTACTGCGCACGGCTCCCAGGGCACACGGAGAGCACACTGCAGCGTTTGTAGGAACTGACAGACGAATGAGCTCTCACCCTTTTCCCGTTCATGTTTAGCCTTGTGCTCATGTTATCCTTCGTTAGTGTTATACAGATGTACTAGGCATCAATTTTTTTAGCAACAAGCACAAATTTGGTTCTGAACAGTGCACACTCCTTCACCATACCCTGCTGGTTTTGAGTCCTTTGTTACCCTTCCACTTACTGGAGCAATATAATCCATGAGGGTGGTTGGGCCAGAGGCATGCGTGGGGCTCCGTACGTGGGGCGTTGTTATGCAGCGTACACTTCACTTCACACTCCTAGACGTAAGCCCCTTAGTATGCCCTCCTTACCATGCCACCTACAGGTAATGGGAGAGTCGGATGGAGGGAGTGGCATAGCTGTACAAGATTAGGCTCTATTTTTGTTGCGATGTATCAAATCCTTGCCCTTGTTTTCGTGGCCTCACAGGTAAAAGGAGAGCCGGATGGAGGAGCTGGATGGAGGGAGTTGCATGGATGTGCTTCAAGCTCTGTTTGGCTACTAAAGCTTTTGTTTCACACTCCGACACTAATCTCAGGTCGTTCAATGCTCTTAAATCCTTTTGCACACATCCTGTTTCCCCATCCCCACCATATACATTCTCGTGGCTAAGTTGTAAGAAGTCTTTCCAACGCAAAAATCTAGTTGGTGCATCATAAAAACTACCTCCTCTCTCATTATGTGCTCGTCGGAGGGCGGGTCATGTGTCGGAGTACTCGAAGAACATGTGGGAGCATTTGCACGGCCCCCTTCTTAAAAGAATTTACCGACAAACAAACAAGCGCTATGCCGATGCCCAAATCATGAAACATCATGAGAAGAGTGCGGCGTTTATCACGTTGGAGGAAGAAGACGGGGTTCGCTACACCATCATGTAGTAGGTAACAATTACAAGCTGAGATGGTGTTTGTGTCGAACCTCACTACCCTCCCCTGCTCTCATAAACATCACCCTCGTGCACCCTCGCCCCCCTCTCTGCCATCCCATGCCCTCACCCTCTTCTCTGCCCTCCCAGGCCCTCACCCTCCTCTCTGCCAACCCATAACCTCACCCCCATTTCTTCCCTCCCATGCCCTCACCCTCCTCTCTGCCCTCCCATGCCCTCACCAACCTCTCTGCCCTCCTATACCTGCACCCTCATCTCGGCGCTCCCATACCCTCACCCTCCTTTCTGCCCTCCCATACCCGCACCCTCCTCTTTGCCCTCCCATACCCCGCAACCTCCTCTCTGCCCTCCCATACCCGCACCCTCCTCTTTGCCCTCCCATGCCCTCATCCTCCTCTCTGCCCTCCCATGCCATCATCCTCCTCTCTGCCCTCTCATGCCATCACCCTCCTCTCTGCCCTCTCATGCCCTCACCCTCCTCTCTGCCGTCTCATTAACTCACCCTCCTCTCTGCCCTCCCATACATGTAAAAATTTTCAAGTTAAAAAATTTGAAGATTGTGATTCGACTAGTAGAGGAGTTTGCTGTAAAGGAGACAAACTCCTTGACATTCCGGCAGGTCTCTCAGACCTGCCACCTAGTCTCATTTGCATTTTCTAGATCTTGATTTGCTTACCACCAGCACACTCTCTAAACCCTTATACCTCCTATGCCTAGGACTAGGCATAGGAGCACTCTTATTTCTGACGTTTTTAACGTAAGGCTGTCTGCTATGGCGAGTGGCTTCGTTTCTGCTGCAGCGGGAAGACCTCCTGCTCCAAGAATGGTGACACAGAGCAGTGGAAGGCGTGCCTCCCCGCAACGTGAGGAAGATGGGGCTTCTTCCTCCCACCGCGAGCGTTCCCGATCTCCAAGAAACGGTGGAAATGCGGCCGTTACTGCATTGGAGCTTCTTAACAGTGCGCGTCAACCTTCCGTTCGCGCATCTGGTGTCATTGCCGACGGAACAATTCGGAATGGTGGTAACGACCGCGGCCCCACCGGGTTTCACGGCGAAGGGCGAGCCCCACGTGCAACCAGCGAACAACTCGAGCATGGCGAAAACGCCCCAGCGCGGCCGGCCACTGCAGCTCAGGCGCAGGACCGTAATGATCGCGGTCCTGCGCCGGCAGATCGCAATCATCGCGAATCTGCCCGAGCAGATCGCAATCAACGCGATTCTGCTCGGGCAGATCGCGATCGCGATTCTGCACGTGCAGAACGCGAGCGAGATTCTGCACGTGCAGATCACGAGAATCTGCGCACGGAGCGTCAGAATCGAGACCAGGCGCGTGACGACCGTCGCCCCGATTCTGCAAATCGTCGCGCGAATCAGGGCGAGCAGCAGGATCCGCGCAATCAGCAGGGAATCGTGGAAATCGCCGACATCATTGCTCGCCTTGACCCCGCCAGCCAGCAACATCTGAGGCGAATTTTCGCTGAAACTGCAGGCGAACGTGTTACAGCAAGATCCAGCGCATCGACGGAGCGGCGCACTGCAGAAATCAATTCTGCACGTTATACTCAAGTTAATATTGGAGCGGAAGCAAACAACAACGAGGCGATTCGGCACGCTCTCGGTCTTCTTGCCGCGCTTCAACGCAACAACGCCGGCGACCCGGCGCCAGCGCCCGAAAATTCTCGTCCAGCGGCTGCGACAGCTCCTCGTCCTCGTGCTCCTCCTCCTCTCAATCACGAGCGCAACGACGACGACGATCGCGCAAACGCCGAGAACCTCGACGAAGGTAATACCGTTAGACTCAAACTCAACCCTGCGCCTATCAATCTTGCCCCCATCCCTCCTGCGCGACCTCAACTGCGTTCCTCCCTTGTTAAAAGTGACGGCATTCGCACGCAACTTTTTAGTTTCGAACGCATTCAAGCGATTGCACAACACGCTATTTCCATTTTACCCTCTCACGGCGGCGAGCAACTTGGCGAGTACCTGCAGCAGATCGTCGATGAAGCGGAAGAAAAGATTCATCTTTTATTTACCGCGGATCAACGCGGTTTTGAGGTGGCCAATATGACCTTAAAGATTAAGTATGGTGAGGTGGTGGAGGATAAGAATGTCAAGGCCGCCACACAAATTGTAGCGGCAAGCAAAAAGAGACCTCACCGGTCCACCACCTCCTCTCGCCCCAACCCCGCGCCTCGCAACCGCGGCCAAGGGGAACGCCATTGGACCTGGCGTAGGGATGGAGATGGGCGATGCTTTTATTGCCAAGAGCCCGGCCACGGAATAGCCGATTGCCCACAACGGGGCCAAGGGGCTAATCAACCCTCTAAGATTGTTTAGCATTGAAATTTGTCAAAGAGATCGTTGTTATGTTATGTTCTTGCACCAATTCCGGCAGCGTTGGTCGGTGGCTCTGCAAAGGGCCCAATCCGTGGGACTTCTCATGAAGTTGGGCGAGGCGGCAGCGGCGGAAAACCCCCCGGTGGGGGGGATTGGGCATGAGCTGCACCTGGGGGATTGTTTTGCCGTGGTGGAGCCTCTCTTGGAGCTGTAGAGAGGGGCGGTAGGGTGATAGCTTTAGTGCTGGTGGTTTGAGTTGTCAGTTGCTTACTCTATACTTTGCATGTGTGTATCTTCTTGATCTATCAATACACGGGCCATTAGAGATATATATATATATATATATATATATATATATATATATATCTTACTAAGATACAACTTTTATTATCCCCAAAAAGCATATGGGGATGAGATACACAAAAAAAAATTAAAAAAAAAAAACAAAAAAATGCATATACATATGGAGGTTTCCACCCCACTTGAAGCTATGTAGCACTTGTGCTTCATTGTTCATGACAAAAAAAAGAGAGAGAGAGAGAGAGAGAGAGAGAGAGAGAGAGAGAGAGAGAGAGAGAGAGAGAGAGAGAGAGAGAGAGAGAGAGAGAGACAAAAATTAAAAAAAAAAAGGAGAGAGAAAGAATGACCCATCACGTGGACATCGACCCATCATTCTGGCGGTTCCTCGGATTTTCATTGCAAGGTAAAAAATATCAATTCTTGTCCTTGCCCTTTGGGCTCGCCACAGCTCCATTCGTCTTCACGCAGCTAATCAAGCAACTTGCTAAGCGTTGGCGCAGCAACGGAATTCGGTTAATCCCTTACGTGGACGATCTCTTATTCATCAGTGCCACTTGGGCTGAGGCAATCGAAACACGAGCCGTCATTCTAGAGGATCTCAGCTCCGCCGGATTTGTTGTCAATATTGAGAAATCACAGCTCGCGCCGTCGCAACGGCTCAAATTCCTTGGCCTCATGCTGGACACTCGCACCTTCTCCTTCTCTGTCGATGCTGACCGCCGAGGCCGGTTGTTTGAGGAACTCGATCATTTGTGCCGAATCAGCACGCAGGGTCGTTGTACCCCAGTTCGCCAATTGGCTAGAGTGGCAGGCATGCTAGCCTCTATGGCGTTAGCACTTGGCACCATCGCTCGTGCCTTCTCCCATCATCTGCTTTCTCAAATCAGTGCGTGCCAATCTTGGGGAGAGTCCATCCACTTAACACCGGAGTCGGTTGATGAGCTGAGATTTTGGCTGACTCAGTTCGATGTCTTCAATGGTTCTTGTTTCCATAATCCGCACATTTACGACGTGGTCATGTATGTGGATGCAAGCGACCATGCTTGGGGGAGTTGCTATTCCACGCCGGATGGTCGTGCTGGCTCAAGCTCTTCTCCATTTCCTCGCACGCTATCAGCCGCCTCAAGCACGCTACGTGAACTCGCTGGGATTCTTTGGGCCCTAGCTTCTTTCAGCCGCGAAATTCGGCGATCACACGTGTTGCTTCGGAGCGACAGCCAGGCAGCTTACTACATCTTAAAGAAGGGTGGTTCGCGCCACGGAACTCACCCTAATTTGTCGCGCCATCATCACGCTTTGCGTGCGCCACAAGATTCGACTCACGGCACAGTGGATCCCTCGGGAGCTCAACACCGAGGCCGACGCGCTCTCAAAAATGATGACTATTGTCTCGGACGGACATGGTTTCAATTACTCGAGCGTCGCTGGGGGCCACACACTATCGACTTGTTTTCGTCGCCGTTCAATGCACAGCTGTCCCGTTTTTGCTCCCTTAACTTTCATAAAGACGCCGTCGCACAAGATGCATTTTCTCTCAGTTGGAAAGGAGAGAACTGCTATGCCTTTCCCCCACCGCCCCTCATCCCAGCGGTTATTGCTCACGCGCGTCGTTCTAGAACGGCGATAACTCTTGTGATCCCGGAGTGGCCTAGCTCGTCTTGGTGGCCACTGCTGCGCGCGAATGGCACTGCATAGGAGAATGATGTATGTGGGAGCATGTATCTCTCCCACGGCTCCGTTTGTCTAGGTGTTGGTAGCGATCCTCAGGCCTTTAGTGGTGCCGGTATTCCTCATTCGCACATGTATGCACTCCGTTTGACATATACTAATGCATAGTCATGTAAACGTGCAGGATCTTACATTGGACGCTTGATGATGGATCTCTTGACACTCACAGTCGACTTGCGCGCTCAATCGACCATTCCCACATACGAACCATACTGGCGGCAATATCGCGCCTTTTGCCATGAGCATTCGTTGCCATTCCTTCCCGCCACTGACCTGACAACAGCCCTTTTCCTACTACACTCGATCCGAAGGGGCGCAACCGTATCGGCCGTGCGAACCGCTTGCTCCGCAATCTCATGCGCCCATTGGTTGGTCGGCTGCCCTTCCCCTATTCGAGGACCACTTTCTTCACAAGTGCGAGAGTATGCGCAGCGCCACTGCGGCAAGCCCTCACTGGCGAAGGAACCGATACCCCTCTGCGAAGATCTACGACATATGCGACATCTATTTCGCGTTGTCAGATCCTGCCACATTCCAGCGCGGTCTCATACCCCTTCTAATGTTCGCGACCTTCTTGCGCTTCTCCGACCTGATCGCCCTCCAGTGGCATCAGATCGAATTCGACCGTGACTGCATGTGGCTCTTCATTCCCCGATCCAAAACGGATCAGGCTGGATCAGGCGCCTGGGTTCCAATTGCAGCCTCTTCTGCTCGTCACTGCCCAGTCGCCCGCACGCAACAATTTCTTTTCCTTGCGGGATTCTCTTCACAGACATTAGGCGCCCTGATCAGGGTGTTCCCGCCTAATGCTCGCGCTTCGCCGTCGGACCGATCCCCCTCATATGCCACGGTTAGAAGCTGGTGTCGCGAGGCGTTCTGTCGGGTCGGCCTCAACCCGAATGCCCTCGGCACACATTCTTTTCGTAAATCGGTGGCCACTGTGGCAGTTGATGTGGGTGTTCCCGATCGACTCTTCAAGGCTCTCGATCGATGGCGTAGCGACAAGGCTTGTGAGTACGTCACTCAACTCGATCGGGAATTGGTCGCAGCGACTCGGACTCTGCAGGATCCAACACGCCCTAGTCCAACCCATCGTTACGCAGCCACCCTCGCACGCCATCGTCACATTCCCTCGATATGATGTCTCGCTTACCTATGACGACTGCACTGCACACTCCTCGGAGAGTCGTGTCACAATATGTAAAATTTTTTGAGTTAAAAAATTTGAAGATTGTGATTCGACTAGTAGAGGAGTTTGCTGTAAAGGAGACAAACTCCTTGACATTCCGGCAGGTCTCTCAGACCTGCCACCTAGTCTCATTTGCATTTTCTAGATCTTGATTTGCTCCCTCCCTCCCAACCCCCTTCTATCATAGGTAATTCTTAGTACGTAGTTTATGATGGAACCATCTGTTATTGCCCATCTGAGTGTGCTGTAAAATTAAAATCGAGATTTGTAATGCTATGACGACTGCACTGCACTATGACGACTGCACTACACACTCCTCGGAGAGTCGTGTCACAATCCTCAACCTCTTCTTTGCCCTCCCATGCCCTCACCCTCCCCTTTGCCCTCACATGCCCCCTCCCTCCTCTCTGCCCTGCCATGCCCTCATCCTCCTCTATGCCCTCTCATACCCTCACCCTCCTCTCTGCCCTCCCATGCCCTCACCCTCCTCTCTGCCCTCCCATACCCTCACCCTCCTCTCTGCCTTCCCATGCCCTCACTCTCCTCTCTGCCCTCACATGCCCCCACCCTCCTTTCTGCCCTCCCCATGCGCTCACCCTCCTCTTTGCCCTCACATGCCCTCACCCTCTTCTCTGGAATCCATACCCACCCCACCACAGGCGATGGACAGAGGAAGAGCCGTCTTGACGAGGGAATCTAAAGCACTTGCTGTGTCCCCAGCAAGTGACCCCACATCCGCTAAGTTCTTTGCATCAAGGTGGTCGCGGCAGCACCCAACAGCACACCGATCATTGCGTAATGCCCTTGCAGACTACGGCATTACTGCGCAATCTATTCAAGTATGGTTCATGGTTACCAAAGTTTCTTCTTTTGTATGTTCTATTATTTTTCTTCATTTGTTGTGCAACATAATCCGCATAAGTACACATACTAATGCGTCTTGTGTGATCTTGTGGCAGACCCACACAACAATGGCAATGCAAATGTCAATTAAGAAGAACGCCTCAAGAGTGGCTCATTTTGTGAGAGCAATCCCTGAGTGCTAGAAGAGACCATGGTATTTAGACATCGCTGTTTGGTGTGAGGGGCTGAGAGTGGCCTACAAAAAGTTATTATTCCATTGTTTCCAAAAAGGGCAGCGCCATAATCTTGCATACGTGGATTTTTATAGGACAGCGGACGTGGACGTGAAGACTGGACGTGTGCGCTTTGTTACGAATAGTAATAGTTGATATTACTGTGCACTCCTCACCGCAGCAAAGAGAAGCACGCAGTAACGAGAATGAACGCGAAGCGTCAGACGGTTGGAATTGACTCGAAGCGTCGGACAGTTGGGACGCATCTGGACCGTCGGAAGCAGACGGCATCGGGTAGCTTCAGGCAAGGTGGTTTTGGCGGGAACAGTTACGAAACTGTACGCGCCGCACGGTTGGGAATGAATTTGAATAAGGGAATGTACCCCTTAGAGTACATGGCTAGTTAGGTCGTTTCGTATTCCCTTGTACTCTTATTTATATCATTTTGTTTGCATGTTTTTATCATCTCAAGCATTTACATTCACTCTGCTATTGAGGTCAAGGGCCCACCAATTATTTCACTGCGTGCGAACCTTCCTGGGTAGATCCCGGGCTACGATCAATTTCTGATCGCAGCATGGTATGAGAGCGGCTCAGGAATCCTTCGCACTGCCACTCCCGAAAATTGCGACATTCGGAAAGTGGCGTCCGGCACACGCTCACGAGTGAAGATGGCCGGAGGATCTGGTGGTCAGACTAATCTGACG